CCGGGGACTTCCCTGGTGGTCCAGTGGTTAAGACTCCGTGTTTCCAATGCAGGGGGCACAGGTTCGATCCCTGGTCAGGGAACTAAGATCCCACATGCCACATGGTGTGGCCAAAGAAAAAGCTAATTTATCCATTTTAAATGACAGTGCTTTCCAAACTGTGAAGCACTGTCTGATTTTGAACCCAAATTGCAGTCACTGTTCTTGGCCTGTTCAGAGTCCAGCTTCGGCAGCATTTCTAGAGGGGTGTCTCGTGTGCGCCTAGGACTGAATCCACGGTCCACGTTGATAGCAATCCGTTGCTCCCACTGCCAGACTTGTGCCTCTCCCCCTCCAGCGGACACAGCATTTTCCTCCTGGTGCCGCCCGGCATCCTGCAGCCCTGCCCATGTCTCTCCCTTTGTTCTGGCAGGCACAGCCCTAGCCCTGGGGACTACGCAGCCATGCAGAGTGGAGAAGGATTATTCCCTTCCCTCGTGGGGTCCCAAGGCAGTGCGGCTTGGTGTCCAGTGTGTGAATATGGAGGAACACCTATTAGCTATTAATAATATTGTTATTATTACTATTATTATAGTAAAATACACATAGCATAAAATTTGCCATTTTAACCATCTTAAAGCATACAATTCAGTGGCATTAAGTACATTCACAATGTTCTCCAACACTCACCACTATCTAGTTCTAGAACTTTTTCATCACCCCCGCCCAGGAGCCCCATACCCACGGGCAGTTACCCCCCGGCCCCTGGCAACCACTAATCTGCTTTCTGTCTCTGTGGACTCGCCTATTCTGTACATTCCATATAAATGCAACTATCCAGTATGTGGTCTTTGGCATCTGGCTTCTTGCCCTTAGCAAGAAGTTCAAGGTTGTCCTTTGTGTTTTTACTTGGTGCTTTCTCCCTCCCTAGGACCAGGCTTGCACCAGGGGACTGGGCTAAGGATGGGCTTGAAAAGCCATCACCATCACGCTCTTTGCAGGATTCCTGGTCACTTGCAGTGATAAACCCCGCCCACTTCCCTCCTCCTTAGCACAGGTCCTCTCCCCTCTGTAAGTGTATTGCTATAAGGCAAGTCAGGTCCCAGCCAGGCCCAGAGCTGGTAATCCTTCCCAGCAGACTCTCAAACCCAAGCCTCCAGTTTGCCAACCACGCCCACAGATCCCCGAACCTGGAAAGTCCCAGAAAATGTTGACACTGAGCCCCTGACTACACTGATTATAATAGTCTGATGTTGTACTTTGTGTTAACAAAGGTGAGTGAGCGTGTTGCTAAGATTCACACTTCCTTTAGCATTTGAGTCCTATTCGGCTTTCTGTGAATCCCGAGGTGTTTCAGTACCTTGCAAAGTACAAGAAACGTTTGTATTTCTCCAGCATCATTCACGGCCTTGCCCTTCATGGGCAGGTAGAGAGAATGAGTTTACTTTCCGTTTCTCTGCCTTGGAAGTAATTGTATGTAAAGCCCATCCCATATAGTTTTGATACCTCTGTGGTGGAGCTTTATTTATGTGCCTGGTTTCCTGAGAACACCTTTAACAAAGATCCCAAAGAAGAAAATGTTTTCCCTAAATTAGTTGATATATAGAAACTGAACAAATGGAGACATGCAAGCTTCTTGACTTCTCCTTTGTGATATTAAATTATTTATTTGGGAAGTTCCAATCCACTCTAGGAAATTCCAAGTTCGATAGAAAATTGTTTTGTGTTTCTTTTTCAAAATTGTAAGTTTTTAAAATTTCAAACATCCTAAGGAAAACTTCTGTGCCTCTCTTTTACTTCTTTCATACTTACTGTTAATGTAGTTAAGTTTTATATTAAACATTGGCCCATGGAGTGTATAGTAACCAGACATAGAGGAAATAATCATAAAAGGACATAAATACCTGGGAAGAAAGTAAAGTCTTAAATCTTCTGTGAAATAGGGTCAAAGCTTTACCCCCAACAATCATCATTTTATCTGCAAACATCCTCTGTAGTTCAAATATGTCCTTGAACTTTCCTAACTTGTATCTGTATCTCAGTATGTGATTTAGAGGCTCCATATTTTAGCATTTTTTTGCTTTTGTTTTCATATTATTGTGTAGGTGCTTTTGGCATTTTTTAGACCAGAGTGGCATTCTTGTACAGCCCCCTCACGCTTTTCTTTGCATCCAGTACATACCTGAACATATTTTGTTGTCCATCATTTCTTGCTTGCGAATGTCAAATTAGTTCATGTAACTCAAAGAGGTTTAGTTTAGGTTAATGCCTTTCCAGGCAAGATGCAGGTTATGGGAAAGACATAGCCAAGCAGTGTGAACTCACCAACATCAAGAAACGAAGACATATTTGGGACCACGTCTCATTAGTAGGTTAGGCTCTGCTGCACCTACCCGTCTACCAATGTCTATCTGCCAATATTCCCCAGTCTTTCCTGTTTTCAAATGCTGATTTAGATAAATGCTTTTCTAACCAAAATGAAACAGTATGGTATTTAAGTCAACCATGAAAATAAGCACTGACATATGTGCCCCCCACCTGAAAGAAATCAGGACAGGTTTGATTTGAATCAGGCAGGAGGCCAGATGCAATCAGGTTCCCAAAGTCTATAACTCCGCCAAAAGGAGAGCTCAAGCCCCACTCCCCCAGGACCCTCCCTCCAGACTGCAGAAGATCCTGGGGGGTTAGAATTGAGCTGTGTTCCCAGCTGGTCAATAGAATGTGATTTTGTACAATAGGAGCAGGGAGAGGGGAAAATGGCAAAAACAGATCATTCTCTTAAAGTTCCGATAAATGGGATGCTAACTGGGTATTATTTTTTTTAATATGGACTTTATTTCTTAAAGCAGTTTTAGGTTTGCAGCAAAATTGAGCAGAAAGTTCAGAGTCCCCATTGACTGGGTATTTTCCAGCCCTCTCTCTCACAAGCCGTCTCTACCTGTAGAGTCCCAGAGCACTCTGGATTTAAATGAAAGGCAGGACACACACTGGGCTGAGTGTTTGAACAGACCTAGAGTAACTCACTGACCCAGTGAGGACTTGCCATCCCCACTGGTCCAACATGGAAGCTCTACATGGACCTGAGAGCACAGAATTGGTATTTGGTGCCCCTGGGAAATGTCAAGCTCTCATTTCATCAATACAGCTATGCCTTGCTTTAAACAAACCTGATTATCTATTTAAAATCTGACTTATACCAGTGGTGAATTGAGAGTGATCCATCTTCCCACCACTTTCAAAGACAGGCTCCCACCTCTCTAAGGTCTAAAATCAACAAAACGGCCCAAAGTTTCTGTTCCAGGCAGTCCATTCTCCACACTGTCCTTCAGAAACATCACCTAAGCCACACTGTCATCTGGGTGTCTCTCCAGCCTGGAATATCCTCTCCTCCTTCCTTCTGGGTATAGGCTTCACTCTCTTGAGCCCTCTCGGTCCTCAGGAACACTGCCTTGGCCTCTCTAGCCCACAGAGAAACCCCTCTCCTCATTTTCCTGGACCTTTTGGTTAGTTTCCACACTGTTGACCATTTAGGCAATTAACTGAGATGTATCAAGCATCTCAATTAATTAGCAGGACTGTAACAGGCACCCCAAACCTGATTATTTCTTACAAGTTAATCTTATATCCACAAACACACTATAAACTCCTTAAAGTCAGGACTATGTCTCCCTGTTAAATCCTACGTACTACCAGACACAGCACTAGTGCCTGGCTGGTGTTTTCATTTCACAAAATGATTCTTAATTTTACAAAAATCGTCCCTGGTTGCCTTCCTTACAGAGAAACTTCTTCAGATGTGCTCAACATAAGCACATGTATTCAAAATACATATATTTTTTAAGAACATCTTTGTTGTATGAAGTCAGGTGTATGATATGTCACTTTACAGAACCACTAGATGTTTTTTTAAGGAGCATTTTTTTTTCCCATGGGGACTAGTTTAATGTCGCAAACAGGAGTTACTACTTTTAGGAATCTTGACTAATTCTAAATAGGGCAGGAACAGGATAGCATTGCAGCCAAGGCCTGTGGGTTCAACATTGATCCTTATATTTAGTTGTAGGCTCATTGGAAAGCTTTTAGGCTGATATTCAGGCAAAGAAAAAAGTGAACTTGTAGCAGTCTTTGCTCTAGATCATTCTTTGGCCGAACTGTTTTTCTGCTGCAGAAATTGTTCAGGGCTGGATAGGCACATGGGAACAAATGTAGTGAGCTCGGTGTTAAGACAACTTATCCCAGCAACGCTTACTTTTCACAGAACAAGGAAAAATCTGGAAAGATGACTTCATCCTCTCGGTTCCTGGCTTGTCCTTGAGATGCCAGTGTGCCCAGTCACCACAGTGCACAGTCGCTGACTATAACCCTTCCGGTGTGGGGCTGTGTCTCTCTGATGAGCAGGCAAAAAGTTCAGGCTCAAGCTTTTGATTCTGCAAAACTAAGAAGCATGTACTATCTTTAAATATTTTTTAAAAACGGTAGAAACTTGAAACTCAATGTCTAGCACATTGGCAGAGGTCTGAAGCAGCGAGTAGAAATGACACCATTAGTGGTATCGATGATGAAAAGGAGATTACGAACACTTTAGCTTTCTGTTCTTAACTCCATTTGAGCGTTTGCCAAAAGAATTAAATAGGTTGAACTTTAAAAATCTAAATCAGATCTTGTATTTCCTTCCCAAGCAGTGTGGAAAGGAAGAGAGGGAGAAAGTACTTAAAAATTACCTCTGTTCCTAGTACACCCGCTTGGTTTGCTCCGTCCCTTTGGAAGTAATGCCTGATGGGTTACACTCTGGTCCTCCCTAAATTTTAAAATTTCCCCGAGAAGTGACTCTTGTTCTCGCAGTGCACCAAAACCCTCTGAAATACCACGGAGTTTCAGGGCATGAGGGTAAACTTTTTCTAAGGGGGAGCCGTCTCGGCTCGCGGGGTGCCGGCTGTCAAAGGCACAGCACGCGGTTTGGTCGTGTACGTTTCAGCTCCACGTGTTTGTTTCAGCTCCACGTTCCCTCTGTCTCCTCGCAGCTACCTCATCCCTCAACTCCCAACTGCAGCAGCTCCAGCAGCTGCACCAGCTCCAGCAGCCGCCGCCGCCGCCGCCCGCCCCGCCGGGCAGCCAGCACCCGCAGGTGCCCCCGCAGTCCCAGCCGCCGCCGCCGCCGCCGCCGCCCGCCTCCCAACCGCCGCCGGCTCCTCCCGCCCACCCTCACCCCCAGAACCGGAACCAACCGTCTCCAACTCAGCAGAGCTCCAGCTCCCCTCAGAAAGCCAGCCAGTCTCCGGGACACGGCCTCCCGTCGCCGCTCACGCCACCCAATCCTCTGCAGGTACGCGCCCCGCCCAGGGCCCAGGGGACCGGGCCGCCGGGTGGCGCCCTCCCCGGAGGCAGAGGGCAGGCCAAACTTAGCATCCACTTCCGCAGCGTCTAATTCAAATTGATCTCTTAGAAGGAGGGAAGAGGGAGCAGATAGCGGGCAACTGGGAATGCATGTAAACGAAACAAATAGAAGCCCATTGACGTTGCCCTCCGAAGGATAAATGTTATCTGTTTCCTCCTGTGAGAGGCCAGCACAGTAAGTGCGCTTGTAGCCTGTAATAACTCCACTTTATGATACTTTCTGAAGGCAGCAAAGACAGCATCCAATTAAAATTATTACTAGCAGAGCTTTGTAGCCCCGTGGAGAACTGCATCTCCTGTCCATGAGGCATGGTGGTTATTTCTCTATATTATGAATACAGCAGTGTCTTACCTTAAGTACTTGGTGCTCTTTTGTTTCTATTTTTCCAAAGACTCTGTGGGGTTAGGAAGGTAAAGAAATTTAGCCCGGGTCTTATGTCCCAGATTCCAACCATTACTCCATGGATTAACAAGTACTCTAAATTCATGCCGAGACCCTCCACAAATATGCATCTTTATAAAATAATAAAGCTTCCATACATTTACTTTATTGCTGTGAAGCTGAGGGCATCCAAAATAGAATTTCAGGCTAATCATGAAAGCTCATCTTTAATCTACTGTCATCGAGGAGCAATGAACAGGAGCATTCAGGAATATATAATTTTAACATTCAGAAGCTCATTTTTAACTTAGATGCCTTTAAAATAATTTAGCTTTAAAAGATAATGACTCTGATGTCAGCAGATCAGATCCAGACATTAATAGCTCAGTTTTGGACTTAAAAAACGTAACGATGTTTTCTTCCAGGAAGATTTCAGATGATTTAGTACATTTGTAGTGCAGTGACACATTCCCACAGAGTGGAAAGCCTATGCACTCATTTCAAAGGCCAACTCACCTCCCTCCTTGATGGTGGGAGTCACACTGCAGTCAGTCCAGCCCTGCCCCACCTGAGGATAAGAGTGATGTTATCCTTTGGTCGGAAACTGCAAAGTATGCAGAATCAAGATAAATTGGCCCGCAGGCAGAAAGACCAGTGGATTAGAGACTTAGTGTTTTAGAACCGATTTAATTTGTTGTCCTGTAACTTTGTTTCTGTGTGTTTGGCTTCTCAGTGGTGGCCCAAATTTTCTTGGAAATGGAAACATTCGGGTGAGATGAGTAACTGTCTTCCTTGGCACTTGGGTCATGGCTACTTGCAGTTTGAGCATTTTCTCCAGTTGGGCTTGAAGGTGTATTTTTTTTTTAAATCTTACAAGTATGAGACAACACAATACCTTTGACATAAGACTGAAATGAACACAGGCTAAAAAACTCTTGGTTGTACACTTGACATCTATGGGGAGAATAGGTCTAATCAAATTTACCAGATGCATGATGAGAGCAATCCTAATGTTTTCAGCATTTGGAATTCAACTCTGATTATTCCCAAGAATGGGTTTAATGCTTTTTTAAGAGCAGTTAAATTAGATCTATCTCAACACCCTGTGATTAAACATTTCCTCTACACGAGCCATCAAAATACGTGAAATTACCAAAGAAAACACGTGTCCTTCTCTGAGGGATGAGACTACTTAGTCCTGCCCCTAGTTGGCCTACTTAGTCCAGTATTCTGTAGAGTGCAGTGAAAGCTTTGAGTTCTGTGGACATCAGCCTTCTCAGAACACAGTCAACATCTTACAAATCTCTATCGGCCAGTAAAAGGCAAGTGTAGACTACCCATTTGAATACCTGTTGACAGGACATTAGATGAGATGACCGCTCAGCCTCATGAAAAACAAATGCTATGAGGAGAATTTCCCAAAGTTCTCCTAATAGTTTCCCATGGAAATCCGGGAGCTGTTTCGTTTTTTGTTTTTGCAACAGAAGAAGCCTCAGAATCACATTTATTTCTGTATAACCCTGAGAGAATATTCTAATTTTTCACTGTTGGAGTTTTAACTTACAAACTTACTAAGTATATTGATGAGATAATACTCTAACTTCTTCTGTGGGTCTAATGAATGACCACTGAATGGGTGATGTGGTGAAACTTTAAAAAATATTACTGAGTAGATAGAGAACTAATTTTGAATAAGTCTACATCAGTAGGCATAAAAGGATTTTTTTTTTCCTTTCATGATAGGCATGTGTAAAGGAAATTGAGAATGCCATGGTTTTGAAATATCAGTTTTTCTCTACACTAGCTGAAGGGTTTTTGAATTTGTGGAACATGGAATGTTTGAACTTTTGAAAAAGAAAACTATTTAAAAGGAACTGAAAGATATTTAACTCTCAAAGGTAACGATCTTTATGAACTAGAATAAAGTGTTTGTGTTTGAAGGTTTTTAAGAGACTAATAATCAACTAAATTCATATATGACAGCTTAAATTCTATTTTACAGTTCTTTATTTTCATGTGGGCTTTGTCTTTTTACGTTATTCAAAATCTGTCTGAGACACGTTAGTTTAGAACATGCAACCTAGATTGTCAGAGGAAGCCAATAATTCAGAAGGTTTTTTGTTTAAAAAAAACCCACAAAACTTTGAAGGATAATAATCATTTCTAAAACTGTACAGATGCTGTCATATCTTCAGAAAAAATAATAAATGAAAGTAGCTTGTATAGGTATATTTGGTGAGGTTATTCCTCAAGATGAAAAAGAAAATTAATAGTGCTGGCAGGTAGTAAGACTCTAGACTAAAATTCCCCAAATACTTCTGGTCAGGTTTTTGTCTAATACTGCAATAAAATTTGTTTCACTCTTTTACTCAAGTCCATGAAATGGATTGCATTTCCAAAACCAGGTTGTTGTTTCAAGACGGATATGAGTCTAAAGTATTATCACTTCAGAGAACTAATTTTGATTTTGCTCAGGGTTATGGGAGGGCTGGTGGTCCAGCATGGGTACCAGAAGCTGGCCCCTGGAAGCCTGTCTTTAAACTCTTCACGGAGAATCAAGGTCCACTCACCCACAACTTCATTCTCAGGAGGGATGAGAAGTTCTAAACAGGGACTATAAGTGCAGACGTCTTCAGGGGCCAGGCAGTCCATATAAATAAGTAAAGCAGACTTGAGTATAAAACCCAAAATAAAAATTTGAAAACAGTGTGTGGGACAAACAAAATGCATCTGTGAGTTGAATTTGACCATTGACCATTACGTTCCAGGATGGATATCAATCCATACTCCTTATTTTTGTACAACCCACCTGCCACAGGCTGCATCAGAATCTAAAACCAGAAATATAGAGTGTGTTGGGTAGAAGCAGATCAGAAACATAAGTGGAAGCAACTTCTTTTTTTTTTTTTTTAACATCGTATTGGAGTACAATTGCTTTACAGTGGTGTGTTAGTTTCTGCTTTATAACAAAGTGAATCAGCTATACATATACATATGTCCCCATATCTCTCCCCTCTTGCGTCTCCCTCCCTCCCACCCTCCCTATCCCACCCCTCTAGGGGGTCACAAAGCACCGAGCTGATCTCCCTGTGGAAGCAACTTCTTGAGGGGAAAGATACGGTCTAATCATTCCTGGGTAGAAAAAACAATACACAGCTTTAATTTCAATATATGATATTGATCTGGATAAAGACCCCATAAGCCTAAGAATGGCGAAATACCTCCTTCCTGTGACCTCTGAGATGGCTTTTCTTGAGACTTTTCCTTGGGAGTTTTTAACTTGTACTAAGGGAATTCCAAACATTGTGTGGAAGGCCTGGTATTTTCCTTCATGAGTGATCTGGAAATCTGGACATAGTTGGAACCTAGTCATGGTGCCATGCGAAGAGGGAGCTTGTTCTAATTCTGACCCTGCTTCCAACCAACTCACAAACGGAACAAGTTCTTTGGACTTCATTTTCCTCGTCTGTTAAATGTGTGCTGAATATGATTTTTAAGATGCTTTTCAGGTCCTTGAGTCTATGATCTAAATGTTGGTAGGCCTCTAGAATTTTATTGGATACTGAAAACCCAATGGTCCTCAAGATTCTCTGAGTATTCTTCAAGGTCAGGTTAAGTTCTTCCCACTCGCTGGGTGGCAGAGCAGAAAGAAAGTAAGGACAAACATAAGTGGGGTAATAATAGCAGAAGCAGGTTTTATCTTAGCCAGAGAGTCCAAATTAAAGTCAAGTTTTCATCCTCAGAGAGTCACCGCTGTAAACTCTGGTCCCTGATTGCTTTTTCATACCTATACGTTAGAGAAGCTTAAGAAACCAAATGCAGCATTTAACCTTGGCCTTCTGCGTACCATCTTGCATGGCAGGAAGCAGGATCATCTTTTCCTTTTCTTGTTGTATTGCACATTTTAATTAAAAAAAAACAAAAACAGAGGGAGAGAGAGATAAGTGGAAGCCGTTAGCGGGGAGAAAGCTATCTGTGCTTATATGAGGAATGAGGAGTACGGTCACCTCAGGTGTGAAGTTGCTCGAGAGAGAGCGTAAAATTGTTCCCGACCACGTGCATTTGCTAATGTAAAGGTCTTGTTACCACTCAGCCATCCAGGAGTAAAACTGCATTCAGATTCCACCTCTGCAGTGCAGCAACTCAGCATCCTGATCTTCTCGTGTGGGATGTTTCCCCCTCCCCCAGCGAACTTTCAGTACTACTTTCCAGAGTGATGGAGAGGGTGGTATATTATCACTTTTTAAAACAAAGAGCCCAAGCCCTCAAGAAGGAGTTAGACCTACATGATTTCCATCCTTTTAAAGCAAATGGTCTCCAAGCGTGTCTCCTTCCTATAGAAAAGGCCCAGTGCCTGGGGCCAACCCCCTCTCTCCCCAGCAGTTAGTCTTAATTTAACACAATATTAGTCAAAGCTTGGTGGGTCTAAGTTTTTTTTCATCTATAAATAGAGGAGGTAAAATTAAATACTTTCTGGAACTC